ACACTGGTCTGTAGTTTAGTGCTACCTGTCTGTCTCCTTTCTTAAAAATTGTGAATACATTTTCTGTCTTCCACACCTCAAGTAGTTACTCTGTTTCGAAAGATTTGTCGAAGACTGCTGTTAGCAGCACATAGATTGCCTCTGCTCCTTCTCTCAGGACTCATTGAGAGATATTACCTGGGCACACTGCCTTTGAGGTATCTAGTTCACATAGTAGTTTCTTCACCTCCTCCTCGGTGGTGTGTAGTGTGTCCAGCACTTGCTGGAGTGCCCTACCACCTCGTTTTGCTGGAAGCCTTTCTGTCTCCACTGAGGATACCTCTCTAAATTTCCCGCTGAGCTCTTCACATACTTCCTGGTCATTTCTTGTGAGCTCCCCTCCTTCCTTCCTTCCTTCCTAAGCCTGATTACTGGTTAATGACTTTTGTTTTCCTCCTGATGTGGCTGTATAACAACTTTGAGTCAGATTTGATTTTTGATACTATATCATTTTCATTTTGTCGCTTGGCCCCCCTCGTTATCCATGTATATTCGTTCCTGGATCTTTGGCTCAGCTTCTTATTTTCCTTTGTACTTTTCCTTCTATACTATATTTGGCTTTGGCCTCCCTGTGTTTTGTGGCCAAGTGTTCCTTCATTTCATTTACTGTCTTTTCCTCGAGTTTTACCCCACTGCGCTTCAGACAGGAATTGGCTCATGCCTGCTGAATTCTTTCTATTGAAGTTTGGTTTCTTCCCTCCTTCTCTCCACTGTTAATTCTACAATGTATTTGAAACTCAGAACCTCAGGTTCACTAGCACCAAGGGGCCTTTCGTATGTAATATCCCCAGTGTCAGAACTGTTCATGGTGAAAACGAGGTCCAACTTTGCTGGTTCAGCCTCTCCTCTCTCTGTGATTGTGTCCCTAACATGTTGGCGCCTCTAGCATCTGAGTTGTCCACGTTTCTGGCTCCCCATGTGGCTCCATATTTTCCCAGTGAATTTCCTTGTGTTTAAAATGCCCCATGATGAGTAACTCTTCTCTGCCCATGTGGACCCTTCTGGCCACCTTAACTAGTGTGTCCACCATTATTCTGCTGCTCTCATCATACTCTTGTCTTGGTCTCTTGCTGTTCAGTGCAGGTTGCATATCACTGCTATCACTACCTTGGGAACCCCAGTCTGTACCGTTCCTACTATGCAGTCATCTGCTCCCCTCTGTCCATTCCTCCCAATTCCTCAAAACTCCACTGGTTGTTGATGAGCAGTGCAACCTCTCCTTCCCCTCTGCCTTTCCTCAGGATTTGATAGCCAGTTGGGAAGATTGTGTCTGTTATCATCCCCATGAGCTTTGTTTCTGTGAGTTCTATGATGTCTGGGAATGCATCCATGATTCGTTCGTACCACTCCTCACTCTTATTTGTTATTCTATCTGCATTTGTGTACTATACCTTCAACTTCTTTTCCAGTACTGTATTTGAGAGAGTAGTAGGGGTTGGTGTGGGCTGGAGGAGTGGTAGGCAGGGCAAGATACTATGAGAGGCTGCTATAAAGTTGAAGTCTGTGCTGGGGGAACTGTGGGTGTGGAGTGTGGTTTGTTTTGGGATAATGGGTATGGGTGAGGTGGCATCCTAGGAGTTGACAGGTTCTCTGGGTAGTTGTGTCTGGTGTTCCCCCCTCCCTTTTAAGGCTGATCTTCCTTGTCTGTTAATGCCTGCCTTGTCTCGCCTTCCTGCCACTTACATCTTTGTATCTTCTCAGTTGCTCATGTTCTTTTCATGCTCTGTCACAGCTGAGGTGCATCCACTAATATTTTTCTGAATCCTTAAACTGTGGTTTGTACAACATGATCTTTCACAAAATTTTTGTCATAAATCTCAATTTGATAGGGCGATTTTTTTCAAATACTCCCCATTTCTCTGAAAATGTATCAGCTTGGACATTTTCTTCTCTCCTGTTAATGTTTACCTGGAGTTTACCTGGAGAGAGTTCCGGGGGTCAACGCCCCCGCGGCCCGGTCTGAGACCAGGCCTCCTGGTGGATCAGAGCCTGATCAACCAGGCTGTTGCTGCTGGCTGCACGCAAACCAACATACGAGCCACAGCCCGGCTGATCCGGAACTGACTTTAGGTGCTTGTCCAGTGCCAGCTTGAAGACTGCCAGGGGTCTGTTGGTAATCCCCCTTATGTGTGCTGGGAGGCAGTTGAACAGTCTCGGGCCCCTGACACTTATTGTATGGTCTCTTAACGTGCTAGTGACACCCCTGCTTTTCATTGGGGGGATGGTGCATCGTCTGCCAAGTCTTTTGCTTTCGTAGTGAGTGATTTTCGTGTGCATGTTCGGTACTAGTCCCTCTAGGATTTTCCAGGTGTATATAATCATGTATCTCTCCCTCCTGCGTTCCAGGGAATACAGGTTCAGGAACCTCAAGCGCTCCCAGTAATTGAGGTGTTTTATCTCCGTTATGCGCGCCGTGAAAGTTCTCTGTACATTTTCTAGGTTTTTAGTGATTATGTTTTTAGTCTCTTTTTTTTTCTTGCTTGTCATCTTTCATCACAAGTCTTTCCTTCAGCCTCCTGATGCCCATGAATAATTAACGACCTCTTCCTCTCCTTTTCCCATTTCCTTTCCCTTCGTATCTCTGGATCCGATTTAAGCATCTCCATTTCTGTTTTTCTCATCATGCCGTGGAGCCTCCACTGGCCTGATAGTACTTCTGCAAAGAACTTCTTGTAATAATGTTGGTAGAATTACCGACAATATGTAAAGTGAAAGGACACAAATGCAACTAATGTGACATTTTTATTGTGGCAACGTTTCGCTCTCCAGGAGCTTTGTCAAGCCGTTACAAACAGTACTTGGACACAGAGGGTATATATAGGCTCATAGTGAGGTGCAAAACTAGTGGTAGTAGTATAGTAGTGATATAAGTTAAAGATTGAGACACTTATAAGTTGTAGTAGTAGTAATTGTTTTACCTTATTGTAGTAATACAATATGGAAGAACAATTAACTTGCACATGAGTAAAAGGATATAAAAGCTGTTACTTGGGAAACATAAAATTAGGTTAGATAAATATTTCTATAGGAGGCTGGGTAGAGGCAGCTTGTTTCGGTGTTCACTCTCTGTAATGTGCTTTGTGTAGTATTAACAGGAGAGACTGTGTGATGGCAGGGTTTACTGTTTTCAGGAGGATTCTTGCTAAGACTTCAGAGATGGTGAAGCTGCCGTTGTTTTGTTTAATTGTATTAGAAACAGCTATTAGTGATGATTCAAGGCACTTGCGTCTGCAGACGCATCAACTTACATCACTGCTACTTTCACTATATCACTACTAATACTACTACCACTAGTAATGCACCTCACTCTGAGCCTATATATATATCCTCTGTGTCCATGTACTGTTTGTAACGGCTTGATAAAGCTCCTGGAGAGCGAAACGTTGCCACAATAAAAAGTCACATTAGTTGCACTTGCGTCCTTTTACTTTACAAAGAACTACTTATATCCTTCCCTTCAGTCTCTCTCTGGCTGCTGGTGTGTGTATTCACCTATTTGTGGTTGCAGGGGTCGATTCACAGCTCCTGGCCCCGCCTCTTCGCTGATTGCTACTAGGTCCTCTCTCTCCCTGCACCATGAGCTCTATCATACCTCGCCTTAAAACTATGTATGGTTCCCGCCTCCACTACGTCACTTTCTAGGCTATTCCACGGCCTGACTACTCTATGACTGAAGAAATACTTCCTAACATCCCTTTAATTCATCTGAGTCTTCAACTTCCAATTGTGACCTCTTGTGTCTGTGTCCCATCTCTGGAACATCCCGTCTTTGTCCACCTTGTCTATTCCGCGCAGTATTTTATATGTCGTTATCATGTCTCCCCTGACCCTCCTGTCATCTAGTGTCGTCAGGCAGATTTCGAGGGGTCGAGACTCAGTTTCTGGGCCCGCCTCTTCACTGATCGCTACTAGGTCCTCTCTCTGCTCCCTGAGCTTTGTCATATTGTCTTAAAGCTGTGTATGGTTCCTGCCTCCACTACATCACTTGCTAGACTATTCCACTTCCTGACAACTCTATGACTGAAGAAATACTTCCTAACATCCCTGTGAATCGTCTGAGTCTTCAGCTTCCAATTATGACCCCTTGTTTCTGCGTCCCCTCTCTGGAACATCCTGTCTGTGTCCACCATATCTATTCCACGCAGTATTTTGTATGTCGCTATGATGTCTCCCCTGTCCCTCCTTTCTTCTAGTGTCGTCAGGCCGATTTCTCTCAACCTTCGTAGGACATTCCCCTGAGCTCCGGAACTAACCTTGTTGCAAACCTTATTACTTTCTCTAATTTCTTGATGTGCTTGTCCACGTGTGGGTTTCAAACTGGTGCTGCATGCTCCAGTATGGGTCTGACGTACAGAGTGTAGTGTCTTGAACGATTTCTTACTTAGGTATCGGAAGGCTATTCTCAGATTTGCCAGGCGACCATATGCTGCAGCAGTTATCTGGTTGATGTTTGCTTCCAGAGATGTGCTAGATGTTATGCTCACCCCAAACTCTTTCTCCTTAAGTGAGGTTTGCAGTCTTTGGCCACCTAGCCTATACTCTGTCTGTGGTCTACTTTGCCTTTCCTCAGTCTTCATGACTTTGCATTTGGAGGGGTTGAATTCGAGAAGCCAGTTGCTGGACCACATGTTTAGCCTATCCAGGTCTCTTTGTAGTCCTACCTGATCCTCATCTGATTTAATTCTTCTCATTAACTTCACATCATCTGCGAACAGTGACACTTCAGACTCTATCCCTTCCATCATGTCATTCACATATACCAAAAATAGCACTGGTCCTAGGACTGACCCATGTGGGACCCCGCTCGTGTGTGTGTGTGTGTGTGCGCGCGCGCGCTCGCTGGCTATATAAATGAAAGTATGTGTTTCTTCCAGCTTTGGGTCATCACATGACTAAGACCCACTTCAGGAAATTCTTGTCCTCTTTCCTGACGAACCTAACCTTCCATACGTGTCTTACAGGAGGAGTCCTGGTGATGACGAAGAGAAGAAGACCAAGCTGCAGCAGGAGTTCATACCCAACCAGGTGGAGCAGTTCTTTACCTGCCTTCGTGAACGTCTTCATGACCGCGAGTGGTACTGTGGTGACCAGGTCAGTCACTCATGATGGTCACGGCTCTCACTCATGGCCATGACACTCACTCATGGCCATGACACTCACTCATAGCCACGACACTCAGTCATAGCCACGACACTCACTCATGGCCATGACACTCACTCATACCCATGACACTCACTCATGGCACTGGTCATTCACTCATGGCCACGGCACATGCTACTGGCCAAGACACTCACTCATGGCCATGACACTCACTCATACCCAAGACACTCACTCATGGCACTGGCCACTCATTCATGGCCACGGCACATGCTACTGGCCAAGGCACTCACTCATGGCCATGGCACTCATGGCACTGGTCACTCACAGCCACGACACTCACTCATGGCCACGACACTCACTCATGGCCACGGCACTCACTCATGGCTACGACACTCGCTCATGGCCACGACACTAATCATACCCAAGGCACTCACTAATGGCACTGGTCACTCACTCATGGCCACGGCACTCACTCATAGCCACGACACTCACTCATGGCCACGACACTCACTCATGGCCACGACACTAATCATACCCAAAACACTCACTCATGGCACTGGTCACTCACTCATGGCACTGGTCAGCTACTCGTGGCACTGGCCAGTCACTCATGGCCACGACACTCACTCATAGCCACGACACTCACTCATGGCCACGGCACACACTCCTGGTCAAGACGCTCACTCATGGCCATGGCACTCATTCATGGCACTGGTCACTCATGGCCACGACACTCACTCATGCCACGACACTCACAAATGGAAACGACACTTACTCATGGCCACAACACTCACTCATGGCCAAGGCACACACTCCTGGCCAAGACGCTCACTCATGGTCATGGCACTCACTCATGGCACTGGTCACTCATGGGCACGGCACTCACTCATTGCCACGACACTCACAAATGGAAACGACACTCACTAATAACCACGACACTTACTCATGGCCACGACACTAATCATACCCAAAACATTCACTCATTGCACTGGTCACTCACTCACGGCCACGACACTAACTCATACCCAAGACACTCACTCATGGCCACGACATTCACTCATGGCCGCAACACTCATTCATGGCCACGACACTCACTCATGACCATGGCACTCACTATGGCCAAAGCACTCATTCATGACATTAGTCATTCACTCATGGCCAAGGTCACTCATAGCATGGGTCGCATACTCGTAGCAAAGGTCATTCATGGCCCAGGTCACTCACTCATAACCCAGGTTACTCAGCACAGGTCACTTGTAGCCAAGGCCACTTATGGCACAGGTCACTTACTCATAGCCCAAGTCACTCTTTGCATAGGTCGCTCATAGCACAGGTCACTCACTCGTGGTCCAGGTCACTCATTAACAGCAACTGGCGATTTGCGGATGCTTCTCGTGAAAGACGTCACTAGGTCACAAAGCATTACCACTTCTATTGTGTGTGTGTGACCTATTGTGTGTTTGTGACCTATTCATGGCTGAATAAATAATTCAGTACAAGTGTGACCGGATACAAACATGTAAAAAGTTCATTACCACTGTAACTTGTTCAGCTATCAAAATTTTGTGGCCCAGTCACTGGACCCATTATGTAAATCTGTAACCTTTTGACTACCACCCACACAATGGGAATGGTGTGACTACCACCCATATCATGAGTATGGTGTGACTACCATCCACACCTTGGGTATGGTATGACCACCACCCACACCATGGTTATAGTGTGACTACCACCCATGCCATGAGTATGGTGAGACTACCACCCAAACTATGCGTATGTATCGCAATTGATTTGGTGGGTGTGCAAGCGAGGATAAATGATAAGGCTTTGGAGGCAATGCTACTTTATTTGGGGTCTTGTACACAGGCAGCATGTTTAGGTTGCCAGGCCCAGAGGGCCATCCCAGGAGAGAGAAACGGAGTAAACCTTGTTGACTCAAGGAAGGGTTGGCACCAAATGAGACAGGGTAAGCACAGTGCGGGCTGAGATTGGGAGGCCTATAGGTGGCAGCACCAGCATGGCACAAAATATGAACCCAGCTGGGCATACATCGCTCAGTCACCTACCCATGGTCGTCCTCGATCAGAATAAAAACGTGTATATACATGTTGACGTGGACAAAAAACTTCCGACAGGGAGAGAAGAAAAGAAAGAGGTGTGCTAAACATCATGGTCCAAGCCAATCAGCTTCGGCAGGCAACATTGCACGCCTTCCTGCATTTGGACAGATATTGCAACACAGGAGACATCGCTGCTGCTGAGCTATGGTGTATCAGGGTACGGATTCATCTGGAATGGTAAAGCAGTCATTATGGAGTAGTTGCTGCAGGGTTTACTCATCTGGGGCACAACCTGCTGGCAGACTTACTTGTGTGGACTCAAAAGTTCGCACCTCATTGCCGACTATAGGTTGATTACAAACTCCTTGCAACTCAAGAACTGCGCAGTCCCCCGTACTACATGAAATCTATAACCCACCTTTGTCTTGTAGCATGAGCTATGGTGTTCTTCACACCTTCGACAGGTATCGGTGACTTGATAGAAGCTGAAGTGTCCTTGGATGTCCACGTCTTCCATAGTCTAGGAATACGTACACTGGTACACTATGTTCGACAAGATTTGTCTTTATTGTTCACAATCTTATCACTGAAGAAACTGATCACACTTCTCTGTAAGTGTTTATTGTAATTTTTGAGACACTTTGTTCACACTAACGCACAGATCAGTGTTCTTTGTTGGTTTCCTGGCGTCAGTGTGACTCTCAGTAGAGTCAAAATTAATCTAAAGACGCCACAACGCCCCACACCGTCACTGCCCCTCGCACATAAAGGAAAAGCTGACCTAGTACTTTTTCTTCCTTGCCACTTCCTCCATGAAGTGAAGCAGAATGTTTGATTCTTGCTGTCTAAGC